TTTCCATCTTTTAATTAATAAAGACCGTTTTCTCCTAGAATTTTTGCGTTTTCTGGACTTTGGACTGGGAGATACGAGTTCAGGTTGCACTTATTGGAAACCATTTGAACCGCTACGGTAGAAATCCATTTGCAATGTGGGCGTGGACGAAAAGTGGACCTAGATTTCTAAGATTTGGCTAACCAAAGTCTAGATAGTTCACACCGAAAAGAATTTTAATGAAAATCAAACGCGTTTGTTATCAACAGCATCAAAATGAACAGACACCAAGAAATAAGCGTTATATCCATAAACGGACGAAGCAGAGTCTGAATAATAATGAAATTTTTTCTCGAATAAAGGTACGTTACATGAGGCATGCTAGTTTACAGACAAAGTCAAATAGTCATAACTGCTACCATACTGCAATAATTTGCTCCATTAGATTAATATTTATATCCTTTATTGACATAGCACGTTTAGGCTATTTCACTGACGTGAACATTTTGATACTTCCACACATTCAACAAGTGATAAAAAATGAAGTAGGTACACAGCTAAGTTCTTGAGTGGTATGCATAGATCAGAAGTGATGGGCGAGGAATTTTTTGGGAAGATTTACTCGTAGAGTATTTGTATAATGAAAGAGGTTAATAAATTTATATTTTTAGGTGTCACCTGTAAGGCTCTTGGTTTATGTGGTAACCTTGACGAGTGCATACGTTAGGTAAATTTACTCAGAAGAAGCATCATGGCTGTTCACTGCTGATGAGGTTCTGAGAAGAAACAAAAGAAGAAAAGAGAAGTTGAAGAAGCCGGATTTTTGTACATTGAAGCCTTAGTTTCAGCAAAGACAATAAAGTTTGAAAAAAAACAGTTATGTTTTTCACTGTCTATATTTTTTCATCAAATGTTAACCTTTAAGTGACTGAGTAAGCATATTGCAGGTTGTCTCGTCAGAATTGTGATCTCAGTATAGTAACTGGAAACATGAGTCTTAAGAGTAGCAAGCGTATGATAGCAACCTCAGCAACACTGGTCAGTCGTCTCTCGAATCAAAAACAGCTGGAAGTAAACAAAATGTTCTGCCCCACAAACATGAATTGATTGAAGTCATCGCCCCCACCATCACTGTTTGCTTGTCGGTAACTCCAATCTTCCTTCATTTTTGTTGTTAGGCTCATTTAAAATGACTGTAAGATGATATATTATGTTCTACTGCAGACTCTATATTTCAAAACCTGTTGGGAAGTACTATTTCTGAAAGTTTCATATTACATGCTTGTCTGGATGTTAAAACTTTTGACCTGTGTGTTAAGCATCAATGCAATACTGTAGATTTTTATGGGGAGAAGTGTGGTATTTAGAACATACTATAGGCATTTAGGATGAGCAGAGGAAGGATATTTGAAGAAGTAAGCGGGAAGGCGTAGGAGTATGGTGGTAATAAATGGGGCAATAGGGTGGCGGCGAAAATTCGATTAAATGACTGCACACAAACCGACAGAATAACTTAAATCAGTCCTATATAAACCAAATAACAGAGTGACAAAAGAAGGGAGACCAGACATCATCAACAAAATAAACTGTTTAGATTGTGAAAAGCACTTCATGGGATGAAGTAGGCGTCCTCTTCAGCTTCGTTTGCGTGAACACTTCATTTCTAAATTAAAGACAGATATGTAGCCAGTTAGAAGAATCGAATGGCACTTCAGAGAAGAAAACAAGAAAGAGTAGTGGGTGAAAATAACTACGAATCAACTAAGTGACAACCGTGTCCAATAAAACGTTGTAGTGCCTCCAAATACATTTGTGTCCGCTTATATTTAATTTGGATAAGCCTTTCCATTAACTTATTTAACCAAGCCACTTGTATAGCAACAACTTATATGTACCATTAGTTTTTACTGTAGTCTGGTTTCTATGAGCTGGTACGACTGAATATTGCTTACACATACGCACATATTCATCCTATTCGCTTTAATGTTAATCTTTTAAATACCTCGATGACTCAAACATTTTCCTATATATATATATATATATATATATATATACATATATATATATATATTATAGTTGAATTCTTCATCGTGACAGTTCAATTCGATTCCAATAGACGTAGGTTGGACGCACTTCCCGATTTTGAAATTAAAACACAATAATTCTAGGGGAAAATGGTCTATTTACAATTAACAAATGGAAATACAAATAATACCTAACTAATATTACGTCTTCCAATTCAGAATTACTCCGAACGAGTATCAATGTGCCGAGGTCTAGGTGAACTCCTATACTGCACGATGATGAATCCAAAAATGTGGCGGTAGCCATATTATATCAAATTTAAACAACATATGTACAGTTCAGAAGCAAACACAAAAACTTCAATATAAGTACAAAATATAGAAAGAATAACAATATACAATGATAAAATCTCAAATTGGAATCAAATAAAATACCAAAAATGTCAACAGAAAGAGTCCGTCATGTCATAACAAAAATAGGTAAACATGGACGGATTTTCCAAAACACAAAACATTCAAAAAGGATTCTACATATATATATATGAACATTTTAATCTTAATAATACATTCACCAATTAGCCCATTCGTTCGACAGTGTGCTGGCCCTGCTCTATGTGTTTGTGGTCTACTGGCCCATTTTGTGGTGCGTCAGAAATAAACGTGTTCAACCCCTCGTGTTTGCCTTCTGATTTATAACCGCCAGGCACTATTTGGGGACCATTGCCTAGACGAGCATATTACGAAGACTAAGAACACATGAATATAATCCGTCACGAAACTAGTGGTACATTGGCCACTACAAGGTCAAAGAGATTATTAGTGTATTCTTTCTGTTACAATGTATATTCGTTACTATTACATTTTCCGCGAATATCGGTGTCAGACAACGCTGCTTACTTTCATTCTTTCTCTTCATTCTGGTGGTTGGATGCGTTATGAGGACATCATAATCTCATGGTATCAAGGGATATAGTGGACTGCTTGGATGCACGATCAAAATAGTGAAATACCTCTTTAAGGTCCAGGAAGACAACTAATGTCGGATGCCTAAGTGTGTTTCTGTGTAACAGGACCTGTAGTGCTGTGAATATATGGTCAAGACAGCAACGTACAGGTTGAAAACCAGCCTGGTTTTCTGGGGTCTGCTCTTCACGAGCTGTAGTTAGGTGTCTAATCAATATCAAGGTTAACAAATTAAACACTATATTAGTTAAGCTGATTCCTTTCTTATAAATTGGGACGATCAGGGATTGAGACCAGTCAGATGGGAATACTCCCGGTTTGAAAAATTCTATCTAATATATCATCCAATCGAACTGCTAAAACTGAACTACCACCCTTAAAAACCTCGGGGGTAAGCCTGTCAGGACCTGCTGCTCTCCCTCGCTTCAGATTCCCTGTCACTTTCTCAACTTCATAGAGAGTTCGGGGGCTTGCGTTGACTTGCCATTCAGGACGACTGAAGGTCGTGGGCAACCGAAGTTATGAACTGATACACAAAATGTTCTGTCCATCGATTCAATCTCCTGAATTGAGAATGAATAATAAGACCATCCTTTTGTGAGATAGTCTCTCTCACATTCGGATTCCTAATACCAGTTTCCTTTATAAGTCTGAATAGTTGTCCATTGTCGCATACCACCGCTTCTCATCAGCCTTACGGTTTACCTTACTAACACAAATCTTTCCTGTTTCCACAGCTTGGATATCATTCCAACTTTCAACCAACAACGAAGTCAGAAACTATCTACAGTTTTACTGTATGGGACTGAAACTTGAGGAACTACGAAAGCCATCACACAAAAAATAAGGGTGTTTATCAACAGTTTTCTGAGCAAGATATTCCATATCCGTTGGCCAGACATCGTCAGTAACAACCTACTGTAGGAGATAACAAACCAGATTCCAGCTGAGGAAGAAATTAAGAAAAAGCGCTGAAAGTGGATTAGACACAACGGAAATCTCCCAACTGCATCACAAGGCAAGATCTAAAAAGGGGAATAATGCACAACATATTGCATCGGCAATTGTTGGTGGAAATGAAAAGAATCGAAAACATTTAATAACAACTGGAAAGCCAGCGGCAAATTTAGTTGAAGAACCAGGGTTGACGACCTGTGCTCCATTTACCGCCACGGTGTTGAGAACACTGATTTGAAAACCTACCTAAAGTTTTATATTCCTTTCAATACTACACTCAGAATAAGTTTAGGCCAGGATTCTACGCATTACATAACTGTTACAAATAACTAACCTACTAACCAGCTATTTTGAAGGTCGTTGAGGAGGCGCGTGGTTGGTCCTGTTGTCAATGGGTATAGGTTCGTTTTGCTTCGAATATTCCGTGATGAAGGATAACTAGAAACTTTAATTAGTTCCGCAGACGAAAACACTGATGAGGCCACTCAGGCTCAACAGGAAGCAATTGAAAGAGATGTAATTTTGTGGCATAATATCAAGTTACTTTTACAGATGAAGTCTACATGTCTAATTTCGACAATCCTCCCACTTTCAACACTCGATGAGGACTTCACCGGCCATTCAGTCTACTTAGAAAAACTAAAGGTCTGGTATACTACTAATTTTACGGTGATTGTTTCTGCAAATGGTCTGGAGAATGAAGTTATTCTGTCTCTCTTAGAGGGCCTGTTGTTATGGTCTCTAAAGATTTAAAGAAAAATTTCATGACTCCAGTTATAATAAGTCATACATGGATCCACACTCATATAGTGTCTCAAAAATGTAACTTTTCTGTCCGGCATTCTTGGCCTAAAGACAATCATTGACCTGGAAGGACGACGTTAGTTCTCTTCCAGTATAACATATGATTAGAAAAATGCTAGCTTTTCAAGATCAATTATGAATGTAGTGTAGCATGACAATATGAGCATTATAGTCAAGTTCACCCATGATTTTTGAATAAATCTCTGTGACATTGTCTGGGTGTTTTAATTTGGCCTACAAATAAGTTAGGTTTTAATATAATATAATATAATATTCCTCAAATCTGTGTTAAAGGCTAATATCACCTGTTTTTCACTGCCTTTAAAATAGTTACCACTGACATTGAATTCCTTTTAACGTTACCTGAATAGGTTAGTGACCATAGTCTTCTTACTACGTAATTCGTTAAACAGGTGTCCACTCATCTTACACATCTCCTAGTTTTATTAAAGAGCTTGCTATATTCTCATGAAAAGATAAAACCATAACCGCTCGAATGTAGTTGTCTGGATCGGTATCTTCCTCATGCTATTTGCAGGTTTAATCGTTCTTTACTAGTTTTCGATTTAACACCTCTCCATGCTTACTCTAAACATTTTATTAAAAATATGTAACCGTCTTAGTTGTACACACATTATTCATTATCATTTTCTGCTGGTCTGTGACAGGATTCTCTTTTAATTTCAAACAGCTTATGAAACAAAATTACCGAGGGATTCGTCGACTTCGACGTGATGGAAACTGTTTTTATCGGGCGTTTGGTTTTGCGTACATAGAGTACTTGCTAAATGGCAAACTCATCAAGGAAGCTGGGAGGTTTGTTCATTTTTTTGCTTTCTCATGTTTTTGTTGTATGCAAAGTGAATTTCGTAACTATACTTGAGTCAACTTTCAGTATAATTCGATTTCTCAATCATAAACAACTTGCGGAAGGAGCTCCATTCACCAGCGTTCATTTTTAAATATTGACTAACTCAATTCTTTGTTATATAGACTAAGCGTAAGTGGACTAACTCAGATGATCTTCACTGATGTGTTGCACTCAATAGAAGCTTAATATTAGGATTTATTTCCTGAAACGGTTCCAAAGATAAGTCCAATAACCCTAATGGGAAGGCATCTTATGCACTTAATTAATATTAATCACTAATTAAGGGGATTATCGTAGTTACTTTAGAACAAAACTGTTATATAAAGTTAACTTTTCAATAATTTAAAAATAACTGTATAATTCACTAATTATTTTTCAAAATTGTCATACTTGTTAGATTGTATACACTGTGGAAACAGTATTTGTTTTTAACTTGAGGATACACTGTGTTCTACCCTTTTACCATCTGCTTTCGAATAAACAGCTATGTTGCGATTTTCTTAATTAGCTTTCATGATGGGTGCCTGTGAAACTGCTATATGTGTCTCTTTGATTCCAATAATACCCATTGTCTTGTAACTACTTCAAAGGTGTTTGGTACCTACTTATGTTAGTTTATCGTCTCCGATAACACTTGATAATATATAGTGTAAGTTGTATTCAGATCCATGATTGAATATAAGGTAGGTTTTCGATTGTCTAAACATATTTTATGTACTTCATAGATTTTTCCACCCTAAACTTTGTTCATCAACACACTAACTAGAAGTTTGTGACACGATAACACTGAGCAAAGACCAATTTTATCGGATGACATCTTTAAAGTCATCATGACTTCTTAGTGGCTCAGCATGAAAGTCACAATCGATTATGCAGGAATATTAATTTGCTACATTCGTAACAAATATGTCTATTATGTGTATTAATATTCCTAAAGCTTCATAATTTTGTTACACTATCTTTCTGTAGGTTTAATGTTTCACTTGTACCAAAACTTCGTCGTAGATATGCTTTTAGAGTTAACATTATCACTGTCTGACTCTTCAGGAGTGAACCTTTTACCAGGAGACACGCTTGCTCACTTAGGATATGCTGATGACATAGTCCTATTCGGTGAAGACGCTGACAAAATGCAGAGTCTTTTGACTACCCTAAGCAACAACGCAAGCATGTTCGGGAAGCGGTTTTCCCCCTCGAAATGCAAAATTTTGCTTCAAGAGCGAGGGAGAGTGAGAGTAGATGACATTCGCAGGTTTGCTTGTCTTCGATCATTCAGTGTCTTCGAAGCATTACTCGTATATCCTGGAACAACCGACTAAGCAATCCTGTCGTTAGGAAACGAGTTCTAGGTAGGGACGGCAAATCGATAGATGAAGTAGTGAAACTTCATCAGTTGAGGTGGTTGGGACATGTGTTACGTATGGCTAACCACCGACTGCCTCGATGAGCTATGTTTTGCAGTGTAGGAGTAGATTATGAAGATAGCTAGGGGTGGCCAAACCAAAACATGGCATAAATCACGTAACAAGTTTAACTAAATCAGTGTACGAAAATTTCCATGGTCACTGATTTAGTGGGGTCCCTTTTAAATGATTTCCAGTTCACTTTTTGTTGTTGAATATCAAGAGGAGATATTAGAAAGCCTTACCACTTACGAGTTGTCAGAGTAATATACTTACGTTTCTATCAAAACACATTGTTTCGTAAACATCCAAAATTATGATCAACAACATTATCGCTGATCTGAATTGACCCTATATAAATTTGAATATATAGACAATCTTTTCTCCCAGTTCTAATCAAACCTATGGTATTATATACACAAATCAACTTTGATATATTTCATTGAGGATGTGTGAAGTTTCGGTGAGGAACAGTACAGATTCCATTTGGGGTTACTTACTTCTCTGAAATTCCATATATCTCTGATGAGTTTTTTAAAGACATGAGACGTAGGTTTGGAAATCCATGAAGTCACTGACAAGTGGACTGAGTCATGTCGGTAGGTGTCGACTACCTGGTTGGGGTCCGCGAGATGAATAATAATCGATTGTTAGAGACCCTGA